TGTGACCCCACCCCTACTCCTGGTGAGACCCCCCCTTTACTCCTGGTGAGACTACACATCTTACTGCGACCCCCCTCCCATTTAACTCAGTGAGACCCCCGCTTTTACTCCTGGTGAGCCCTCCCCCCTTCCTCCTGGTGTGACCCCACCCCTACTCCTGGTGAGACCCCCCCTTTACTCCTGGTGAGACTACACATCTTACTGCGACCCCCCTCCCATTTAACTCAGTGAGACCCCCGCTTTTACTCCTGGTGAGCCCTCCCCCCTTCCTCCTGGTGTGACCCCACCCCTACTCCTGGTGAGACCCCCCCTTTACTCCTGGTGAGACTACACATCTTACTGCGACCCCCCTCCCATTTAACTCAGTGAGACCCCCGCTTTTACTCCTGGTGAGACCTCCCCCCTTACTCCTGGTGTGACCCCACCCCTACTCCTGGTGAGACCCCCCCTTTACTCCTGGTGAGACTACACATCTTAGTGAGACCCCCCTCCTATTTAATTCTTAGTGAGACCCCCCCCCCCTTTACTCCAGGTGAGAACTCCCTGCTGCCCCCCCAGAGTGGCTTCTCCCATCATATGATGCTGGATCTGCAGCAGCCCCCACCCTCCTGGAGAAGCAGAGGCCCAGAGCACATCAGGAGCGGACAGACGCCAAGCAGGCTGGCTCCACCGCCCCTCCTCCACCCTGAGGAGCAGCCCCCCCACCACCCTGGAAGAGAGGCATCCCGCTCTTGTTTTTCCAACAATTATCTTCATCTTTTACAGCACAAAGAAGTATCGGGCTGGATGCACGAGATCTGGGATAAACCGCAAGCTCCCCCCAGCCCTCCGTAAAAGATTTCCCTGTGAGCAGTGCATGCATGAGTCTTGGTGCAATTGCAGACGCACAGGGGAATTGTCGCACACGCTCTAATGCATAATGCATGCGGCACAATCTGGGAGATTATGTAGCTTTAAATGGATGCGTGTGAGAGACATCGATACGTTGCATGCGAGACGTTGTTTACAAAGGCAGGGATGTGGGCGTGTCCATGCTTGACGGGCAGGGCCTGCTTTCATCCACTTAAAACACAAGACTGAACTTATAACTCCCAAACTGAAGGAAGTGACCATCCCCGGCCAGAACAAAAGGGGGCGCCATCATTATTTAGGAACCTGTATTTTTTTAAATGGATAAAATATGACTTTGCATTTAACAGTAGAGCATCACCCTGGAGAAGGTGCAGAGAGCGAGTGTCTGTGACATGGTAGCTTAGATGCTGGGAGTGTTTGTGACAGGAAATTCCACAAAGTCAGGGGTGTCTGCTCTTCTGGCTGGACCACACATGCTCTGACTGACAGCCGCCCCATTCGGCATACACCAGCCAGTACAGACGCACGGCAGCTTCAGCAGAATGCTGGATTGTTCACATGGCCACGACATCAGCCCAGTCGCAAGAAGTAGACAGCGCCATCTCTGGCCATTCATGTGAGACTGTCTGGTAGAAAGGACCCTCTGACAACGACAAATGATAACAGAACAGTCCCCCCCACCCGCCAAAATGTGCTCATCCCGGCTGCCCACCCTCACGCTGACCACAGCCTGATGGGGCGGTGCCTCGGTCGCCGTGGCGACCGTCTGCATGGCCGCTCTGCAGAGTGAAAGACGATCTCAGCGCTTACGCTGCCCGGGCCCCAGCCAACCGTTACATCAGGACGTCAATATTTGTTTGATTGCTAATTCTTTGGCAAATTGAAGTAACTGGTTACATGGTATGTGATGCACAGACCTAACAGCCGAAACATTACAACAATGGAAAGGTGTGGATTTGCATAATTACACTCAGGATTAATATCCGAGATCCTGTACAACCATCGCATACAATCATGGATGCATGACAATTTCAGCACAGATTTTAAACAGATTATCTTCTGTTCCTGAAAAATTCAAAGCCCACTTCAGTTCTTCGTTTGCATCATGGGCCTAGATTTGCATTAAATATTTCTGAAAACTTTAGATCTGCAGATTTAAAACATTTTGATCCTTTGTTGTGGCAGGGCAAAACCGTAGTGCATTAATGAAGAGCCAACATTGTGCGCAAAACTAGCATACGGCATTCGGTCTGCTGCAAAGCCAAACGCACCAAACTTCTACCAGGGGCAGAGCTCCCCAAGGCTGAACCTTCATCACACCTCTACCAGGAGCAGAGCTCCCCAAGGCTGAACCTTCATCACACCTCTACCAGGAGCAGAGCTCCCCAAGGCTGAACCTTCATCACACCTCTACCAGGAGCAGAGCTCCCCAAGGCTGAACCTTCATCACACCTCTACCAGGAACAGAGCTCCCCAAGGCTGAACCTCCACCCTCCACTGCCAGGATGAACATCAATCAAGCCTCCTCCCTGCACCGCGATGGACTGCTGAAAATTCTCAACGTTTGGTGTAAATTCTGGAAAAGAAAAGAGTGGAATTGTGGGAAATCCAGATAAGTAACCTGCAGATATTTGGATGACAAGAAAAAAATGCAGTAACAGGATACTTCTCCCCGTCTTCAGGGGAATGAGGTTCAGGGCAAACAACCTGCATATGAAAACTAACAATGCCAGTATTCACGTGGGATGTGATAATCTACACATAGATCAGCTGAGGGCCAGCGGGGGTGTCCTTCCAAATATAAATTTTCTGGGACATATTTGTACTTTTTCCCCTATGGGTATGTGACTGAGTGGAAATTCAACATAAGTGATATGGTCATTTCTTAGGTACAACAGGGGGCAATATTAAAATTAAATGACATACAATCTGTTTCTACTATTACATGACGTCATCTATCGTCAGTATGCAGGGATACAATATGAGACATTTTCACAACAGCTTAAGATCTACACATTTGATTTATAGTTTATAACATTAAAAAGTTATTATTAATATAATAATAATAGGCCTAATAACCACGACAAAACAAAGAACAACAATAAGTAATAACAAAACAATTTAACATTGTTCCGTGGTATTCCTTAAGTCCTGTTCGTGAGGCTGGTCCATTTCAACCTATATTAACCCGGTACAGCAGCAAATCACGAACCCAAACAACAAACAAACACGCTCACGTCGCTGGAAAGGAAACATGGCTTTAGTCTCATGGAACTACCTCGAATGTTAATTCAATTTAATTACATAACATCAAAATCAAATCTGTTAGCATAATAAGCTAAAAAGGAAATTGCTTTTCGATCTTATAACTCTTCCGGTCCTGTCACTGACTTTACTGAGCTACAGTATCACACATATTTTTCTATGTAAAGCAGCGTACATTTACGCAAGTGGGTTTGTTAAAAGAAAATACGGAACTGTTTTCACCTAAACTACATTTCACCGCACTTCTGATTTCACCATTCGGGAGGGGATGCGTGTTGTCAATTGTCACTCTGACCGAGGCTCATTTGCAATCTTGAATAGCAAGGGAAACAATGCAGGTCACAGTCGAGATGAGCCAATATGAGCGTTTATCGAGGACTGTATATGAGAAGTGAAAACGACACAAAGCAGACGGTAAAAGCAATCACCAGATAAGTAGCTATATCAAACTTGACAATCGGAGGAGACGTGAATCGTTTTATCAATCTATGATCTCCATGCGATTCTTCAACTTGCCCTTTCCTGTAAATAATAAAACCAAACCAAAATCCATCACAGTAACAAACATATCCAAGTTTGGGAAGCCCGAAATTATATCACTATGTAAAAGTGCTAAAAGTTCATTTTTATTTTTGCGGTCATGCATGATTTATATAGTCCTCTATGAGCAGAAGCCTGCCATACTTAAGTTTCTTAAAATTGGCGCTTCTGTGAGGTGTTCCTGTAAACCATGAGGGAGCGTACAAATAAAAGCCGGCATTACGAAACGCTCCGTATCATGCAGGGACACAATGCGACGGGATGTCCCGGTCGCCAGGCCCCGCCAACCCCAAAGTGACCCTAATTAGAGCGGCAGCTGCTCTGTCATTTCCTGCTCCTGACGCCTAACTGACGGTTGTCTGCGTGGGTACGCGAGGGGACTTAGTGCTATGTGTTTGAGGACCTGAGAGGTCATATTATGCGACACAATCTGCTAGCAGTGGAGACATGTGTCCTTTAGACTCTCAATCGTTCAACACAATAACAGCCGGGAAAAATACCAAGCTTTAATGTATATCGTACACTGAATAGCTTTCGACAATAGACTAGTGTTATATACTAGACTACCTTCTACATCTATATATAATAGCATGCTACTCCTTGGCTTTTATTATGAAACTAAACAAGCAATTCCTAACAACTGTGATTTCGTTATTTTGGAAAAGTGCTTGTAATATATTTTTAAGAATAACCTGCAATCTGTCAACTCACTGCTATCTTCATTGCCATTAAAACTACCGAACGATTATATTTTCAACATATTCCGTGCAATTTCAAATCGATTGCATCACTATAACACGAGCAATAAGATTTGATACATAGATGCGATTAATAATTTATGACGTGACGCAATTTGGACGGGGACGGCCAGCTGCCTGCCTCGCGTTTCTTCTTCGAAACAGACGGTTATGTGTTACCTATGTAAATATGCGGCAGCAGGCAAACTGCGCTTAAACAGCCCCTTTGATCTGACCCGATCGATGCCATCTAGATCCGATCTAAGTAGTAGATATACTCTTTTCGTGACAGTTTACAGCAGTAATTACAGCTTTGCAATATTGTTTTGCGAGTATTTGTAAATACCGGGGATTCTGGGTATAACACACTGGTCGGCATATTTCATTTGTATCAAAACTATATATGTGCGATAGAACAGCTCCAGGGAACTTGTCCAGCGAAATGCCGCACGCGTTACTGTTAAATCGGCGATTAGTACAAATCGATGCAGTTTTTACTTACGTAACGTCGCAACTTTTTTTCAGGCGGAGACTTTCTCAACCAGCCCGAGCAAACCACATCTCCCCCGCTCATGCTGTCGCCGTTTTCCGCGCAGTGCGGCCGCAATTTGCGATCACCTATACGAAATATGATCTTTTGGTTAAGTGCCGTGTAATCAGAAGGGAAAACAACAGAAAAATACAATGTACCTTTGTTGCACTGATTGTTTTTACATAAAGCGGTAGATACCCACCCTTCTCTCTGGGAGCCGCTGACAGCGTAGCCCCAACTCTCCCAACCCAAATCCGACTCTGCGCTTCTTTTCAAGAAAAGGAAAAAACAGGATCTTTTCCCTTTGGTCACATTCAAGAAAGGCACAAGGCAAACTGGCACGGGCCGATTTGCCGACAATATTCCATAAATGAGAGGTGGAAATGCTTGGAGGCTCTCTGAAGACCGTCCTGGCCAGCCGGAGTTCATGCACGCAGTAATGAAAGTCGCCTAGTTTACGTCCTGGGAAGAGCTCTCCTGTGTGTGTGTGTGTGTATGTGCTGCCTTTCAAAGTGCGCTTTCCCGCAGTTTCCCAGCTTATTATTTACGGATCCAGTGTTACAGTTCAACTCGGACCGCTCCCTTTCCCCGATCTCACTCCCGGTCTCAGTCCCTGCGTGTTCTGCTAGTTGACAGCCAGAAAGGGTGATCTATGTGCTCACGCAGCTCCGTCCCTTTTCCTCCCCTCAATATAGCCTCCTTTGGAAGAAGGTAGGGAAAGGCGGTTTCAAGAAACTAAGCGTACAATTATGGGAGCTGTAGTTCCGCCAGTTGTGAAGTAGTACTCCAGACTTACGCAAAGTTTGCGCTATAGGACTGTAGTGAAAGTATTTGTGTGAAGTTCTGTATTATGCTAGGGGTGTGTGAAAGTGCCCCGGGGAAAGACAGAATAGAGCAGGACGGATATAAACTGAGATTTCAATGCATCAAAAGACGACTTGGTGGAGCGCTGTATCCATGCAAACTACAGTAACCAGAATGCCGCTTGAGTTGTCCTCCAAGTTATGGCCAGTGTTTGCACCTCCTTGTGGGAAAAGAAGAATGAGAGAGAAGGAACAAAAAGAAAGAAAGGGAAAGAGGGAAAAGATTAGGACTTATTCATTGCACTTAATAACATGCAGAATAATCGTCGCTATTATCATGATACGACTATACGGTCTCCACGCCGCCTGCGCCGTTTCATTCATTTCGCTGTTTTGTTCATAGTAAAACCTTGTTTTTGTGATAATGTATGTTTAAAAGGCCCTTTTTTACTTTAACTAAAATTATTGTGAATTGAGATGCTTTTGCTAAATAGGCGACATTTAAATAAAGAATTTTATTTAATCATGACAGTTTTATTTAGAGGTAATAAGTGATTTTTGCTATAGCTGGTTCATGGTGAGCTGTAATATTTGTCATGCATCCGAATATTAACTATCCATTATGTAGACAACACATAGCGCGTTCCACGTGACAACCTTGAAACGGTAGTAGCCTAAAACATATCCAAATCATGACTTTAAAGACCATAGATACCATTAAAACAAACAATAAATATGGCCTAGTATAACTTCCGAGGGGTACTCTGGTTTCAAAAACACTGGAAAAGCTTTAATTTGTTCCGAAAAAAAAGGAAAATCCAAAATGTGCTAACTAGCGAAGGTAAACAGCAGCTCTTCACCTTGAAATGTTCAGCTTGCATCAACTATGGTGTGTAATGAACTTAGAGTGATTAAAACTTACACATTCAATACAGAAGACAGGCCTTTACTATTCAAACGTGCCACAAGTGACTTACATTGATAGTTATATGGCAGAAAAAGAAAAATCTTTAGTCAGAGATTTATCCTGAGTACAGAGAAAGTCTGGTGTCAGACTACCAGCCATTGTAATGGAAGGGACCGGTCCAGCTAGTCGTCCTAACCCATCTCCTAGTACTTCCTTCCTGGAAAGCTTGGGAATGCACCCACCTATTGGTAGGCCAATGGGCAAGAACGTTAAGCATGTATGGGCAACATCGCCCTTCCGACGGTTGTGTTTTACTGCCATCTAGTGGCTGTTTTGTTAATTAGATTTGAGTCTGGTGCGCCTGCGCTATCAGCACTGTCGCTTAACACTTGCAAGAGTGTGAATGCTTTTGTTGTAAAGGTAGCCTGAAAACAATACAAACGGACTCTCGTACTACTGAATGCCTTTCATTTAGCTCTTTATGGAGGAGCACACAATTCAGTAGGCTTCTTAACAAGAGCCAGGACCTTTCGCCTGAACCAGGGGTATAGTTAGAGAGGAATAGATAGGGGGACTGAGTCTTTACTGGGGAGGGGGTGGGGGCGATGGCCTGTACCCCTGTCGATAACTCTAACTCCGCCATTCATGCCTCTGAGACAAAGTGAAAATGGGTAATGAAGTTTAAAAAGGGGCACATGGGCTTTCCAGCACCAGACTCTCTAACAGTCTCCTACTGTCCTGCTCAGGTCTAACCTTTGCCTTCTGAGGTCATACATCCAGCATTTATTGACTTGTCTATCATTGTCCTGTTTGATCACTCTTTGCAATCTTTCACCAGGAAGATCCAAACTTATCCTCAGCATGTGATCCCGGCGGATAGGTGCCCCCCCCCCCGTCCTCCACGTTCCCGGCGGATTGGCGGCCCCCCCGTCCTTACAGCTGGCCTGCCTGCCCTCACGTTGTTTCCAACGGCTCAGTCATGAAACTCCCAGTTACAGAGAGCAGTCAGAATATTTGTTTTCTGAGTCAGAACCTTTAGAATCGTCCATGAACCTCCAAGGCTGTCTGACTTAAATTCATAAAGAAGGAAAAAAACATGAAAAACTTTATAAAAATATATATTAAGGTTCCTATAAAGGCTGAATGAAATGCCAGACCAGAAAGATATGAGCTGCTTCACACTGAAAGTTCATAACTGACTTGTTGACTTTTTGATTGAACAGCACAGCCACAATTAGACACAATCTTTTTGGTTTAGAAAGAAAAATATTTAATTAGAATTACATTACCATTTAATTAGAATTACATTACCATTTAATTAGAATTACATTAATATTGAGGTTTTAAATGGTAAAATGTAGAGCAACATCCATTTTAGCTTTACTCAAACTGATGTGACCAGAGATATGTTATAAAATGATTAAATGTTTGTTGATATTCCATAGTGTTTAGGAAACACAATCAAAATGTCACTGCATTGCAGTGGTATGCATTTGAATGTTGAGGTACACGGGGCTGACATGTTTATATTTATCCTGAAAAGTTCCCTGGTTTCGCTGATGAGCCTTGCAGTGCTGCTCAAGGTCGGCGTTTGTTTCAAACATCTCTGGAGCTTGAGGGTCATGTTTTTAGCATCCTGAGGGAAATCCCTGCAGATGACTTTACTCTCCCCGCTTGTTTGGTAAGTAAACAGCAGAGGGCGCTGCTGCAGGGTGGTTCACCAAGCCAGCCATGGTAAACAGGTTCTCACGTGGGCCAGCATGACACTTGGCTGGTTTTCATGTCTTTGGACCGGGGAGGAAACTGGAGAACCAAGAACAACAAAGGGGGGACATGCAAACCATGGGGACAGCGTGTGGCTCTGGGTTCAAGCCCAGTCTCAGCAGAATAGCCTCATCTGTGGGCCCTTAACCCCCAGCTCCATGGGTGCTGCTATGGGTGACTGCTTATTGCTATCAAGCTTGCTGTCTCCTACATATGTATCACTGTTATAGAATATAGTGTCATTATTATTACAAACTCTGCACACAGACAGCTGGGGAGGGACTCACAGCCACATAAACACGGGGAGAACATGCAAACTGCACGCACACAGAGCCGGGGAGGGACTCACGGTCACATAAACACGGGGAGAACATGCAAACTGCACGCACACAGAGCCGGGGAGGGATTCACGGTCACATAAACACGGGGAGAACATGCAAACTGCACGCACACAGAGCCGGGGAGGGATTCACGGTCACATAAACACGGGGAGAACATGCAAACTGCACGCACACAGAGCCGGGGAGGGATTCACGGACACATAAACACGGGGAGAACATGCAAACTGC